AGACTACTAGGCAGTTAATTGAAAAGATTAAGCATCCCATCCACGGGACATGATATATTGTCCATTCATTTACAAAGTAAAACATCAGTGGTTAAGCAGCTGCCTCAACAAAACCTCATTTTTCTTATTTCACACAATCCCTGAGTTCACACAATCCCATAGATGGCTTGTCCCAGTCATAGATACTTTTCCTGCTTTGTGAGGAGCTCTAAGTATGCTCACAGGAGCTCTAACTATGCCTTTACTATGCTAACTATGTATTTCAAGATCAACCTTTTCCCCAGAACTGTATGGGTGCCCAGTTAGGTTGAGGTACCACACCCCATTTTTTCTTGCAGTATGTTGCAATCATTTCTGGAGTCCATGGCAGAGGTGGAAACATGTCTGTCTTGTTGTTAGAACCAGCTGGAAGAGTGAGCTCAGTACAAGCCTGAAAAGATGAAATATAAATCTCATTTTTATGTTTAATGACAGAAATAAACACAACCAGAAAATGTTACATGTCTTGCTCAACACAGTCCAGTCAGTCAGAGTTGACCTGGGACCTTTAGATCTGAAGTCCAGCATGTATAAAGCCCCCACATTTCCCAAATCTTGAATTTTTCTAAGCCAGAGTAAGTGGTAGTTACTGTCATCTTTAACTAGTTCCTACATCCCATGCAGACTATGGTTAAACATAGCAATTATATTAGTTACTTGACTAGGCAAGTAATATATCCAACCCACTACCTGATAGTCTTGTGCAAGGCTGTCTAAACCCAGGCTACACCCAGTGGGGTCTGCACATTTGATGTACTCTGTATCTGGATCAAGGCAAGTCAGGGTACCATTAGTGCCATTGTAGACTAAAGCTGTGACCTCAGCCAGACCTTCAACCTTGGATGATGCACTTGCCATCATTTTACATGCCAAGTTCACAGGATGCCCAGGAAGTGGAGCCAGGAGGTGTGTAGGGTAAGGATAATCACACATGGCTAGGGTTGTGAAAGAATTGCGAATCCAATGTAACATGTGAGGGATCTAAAATGAAAACAAAAAAACAAAAACTAAATTATTGGGCCAATTGAAACAATGGATGAAATGGAGGATCTACAAAGGACAAAGGAAAGAAAACATAAAACAAAAGTTGTGAAAAGAATTAAGTAACACTAATAACAGTTATAAAAATAACAATAACAATAAAGGAATTAAGCAGTGACAAATCCAGAACACAGCCCTGCATCCTCTGTTTCTTAGTCAAATGAGGATTGATTCAATGAGAATCAATAAATAACTCACCTGCAAGTGACCCAAGGTTATGGATTCTGACCAAGGCCACAGCAATGGGATTGGAAGGCAAGTGATCTCCCTCCTGTATCATTGATCTTTGCTTTGGAGAGAATGAGGGGGGGAGGGTGGAAGGGAGGGAGGGTGAAAGGGAGGGAGGGTGGGTTGGAGGGAGGTAGGGTGGAAGGGAGGGTGGGTTGGAGGGAGCTAGGGTGGAAGGGAGGGTGGGTTGGAGGGAGCTAGGGTGGAAGGGAGGGTGGGTTGGAGGGAGCTAGGGTGGAAGGGAGGGTGGGTGGGAGAAAAAGGGAACAGGAAATGACGGAGAGGAAGGAAGATAGGATGTAATCTGGCAAATAAACTAACAAATAATTACCATGGGGTCATTAAATGCTGCTCCACATAATTTTTAACTGTGTTCACTTCACTGTCATGGTTGTGTTTGTGTGATGGTAATTAGATAATTCTTACCTGATCTGTTGACTTGAGTGGTTTGCAGAGTTTAAATATCCTTGAGATTTCAGCAAGTCCTACATGAAATAATGTGATTCAAATAAATGCATATCAAAATAAAACTCCAGATCAGTTTCACACATAGTGACTTGGTTAAAAGATCCATGCATGCAATTGCCTTTAAATAAGAGTTATCTATCTCCTTGTTATAGTTAACTTTGTTAATAATCCATAATTAGGAATACTTTGGTTTTGATTTTGACATTTTACTTGAAAAGTTTTCTTAAAAGAGACTGATTTACCGACTTAATGAATATATTTAATGTACCTTTTGATCCTTGATTTTTCAGCATCTCAATCATTTCAAAAGCCATAATAACATAACCTGGACAATTAGCATCAGCATTTAAAAAGTCCTTGAAATTAAAACACAAAAATTACAAAAAAACTTAATTAAATTAACTGAATAAATTGAAACATGAAAACAAAATAGTTTGGCAGTTACTGTTGATAGTTTTATCTTTCATGAACATCATCAGAAATTAACATAATTGTTAAATATCACCAAATAAGTTTAAATACTCTTGTCTACAATGAACTCAAATAACAAATGATATATCATTCTCCTCATTTAACCAGTATAATTCTCAAGAAGGAGAAAAATTAATAGACTCTCAACTCTTTTACCAAATGAACAACTATTAACTAAATTAGTAATTTCCTTGATGTTATGGGGAGAATCACTGATCAGTAAGCTGGACAAGAGAAGAAACTAAAACAGTTGATACAGTAGGCATGATCAGCAAGGAAATGTTGTAGCACAACTAAATAACAATAAAAACTTGAATATTCAATCATTGATTGTTCTTATGCAAGTTACAAAAACTGTAGCCATCACCTCTGTCACTGCAGCAAAGAATGAGTCTCTTTCACTACCCTGGAAAGTGGTCATGTAAATTGGAGCACTGGCTGCTAAGGCAACATCAACTACGTTTGGATATTTGAACCTCATGTAAGCACTCAGTATTCCACCATAACTGAAAACCAATCAAGGACAGATTAATGCTACAGAATATGTCATCAGAGCACTTTACTTTCTGAGACGTTGCTGAGTCACATAGAAAATGAATTATAACATTACAAATGCTGTAGTTTCTATGTAGGTGACCACAACAACTGTAATTTTTTTTTTAAAAGTTATATTACAATGTACCTGCCACCAAAAGCAACAACCTTACTCTCTGTGGCCTTAAACTGAATCTTAAGATCAGTCAATAGGACAGCATAGTCTGCAAGGGCTTGCTCCACTGAAAGGTAACCAACTTTATCATGATCAAATGAGGACGAACCAAATGGAAGGGAATCTCCAAAGTATCTCTAAAAAAGGATGAAGACAGAGCACAACAAATTAAAGGTAAAATGCACTTTTGCTTGCTAGAAATCAGAGCATCAGATATTCAACATTCAGTAAAATTTCCGCACAGCCCCATACCACATTATGCATTCAGTTCTTGGATAGAGAAAACAATGACAAAAACGATACATTGCCATTGGGAAAACAGATTTGTTTTACAATAGTATGGGGCTGTGCGGAAATTTTTACCCAACATTCACACAAAGCATCCTTGTGTACTCACATGTTCACCAAAAATAACCAAAGCATTGAACTTCTGAGCTGCTTCGAAAACAAAGCCTGAGTTTTCCCAAAAACTAGTTATTGGTCCTTCATTGCCAGTGTAAAAGAAAATTGGTCCTTTTTCATCCCAGTACTGATCTGTGACACAAAATTTAGCAATGGGCTTAACAAATTATTCCACTCAGAACACCTCCATGTTCTTGCCAAGTATCACAAGCCATCCTCAGGAAACAGGCCCCAAAACTGGTGTCTCAAGGCCTCAGGAAAGACAAATTCTAAATACTGGCATGGGGTTTCAATAACTTATTCCATATGTGGCTGCTGATGGTGTAAGAGACAGCTGTGTAACAGGCGTAAGAGGTCTTATGGGCAGCGATAGACCTCCAGTAACCAACCTTTAAAGATACTGCTGCAAATGCTGTTTGTTGGGGGGGAGGGGGGGGAGGGGTGCATTCAGCACCTGGTTCTTGACTTACTTCGATTCCAGGCTTCAATTCAAAGCTATTTTTTACTTCACAAGTCTATAGTACATAGGCAATCAGTTGCAGATTGAAATTGTTTCCTATGGGTGTCCCCTCTTCCCCTCTAAGATAGGCATGCAGCCATATAGGATTTTCTGTGATCCTTTCCAAGGCTTTCCTCCCCCACCCAGTCCACCCCCTTCCAAAAAAGGGAGGAAAATCAGAACACTGAGCCACAAATGTATTCAAAATATTTAATCTGTCGCTTTTAATCCTCATAGCCTCTCTTTTTCCCAACATAGTGATTGCTCCAAGCTCATCTACTGTTCAACATGTCTTACTCAAGTTTTCTTCACTTCAGCACAATTACTAAATTGTTTAAGAGAAATTCAGTTAAAATACGGGTGATTCCATTCTCAG